TCTGGGATGCAGTGTTTTCCAATTTCAGTGTTTTAATATTAATACTCCTATTATGAGCAATTTCAAACTACCAATGTGATATTATAGAACATGGAGTTAGAAAAAGGTATCTACAATGGTCTTTCATGAATCAGCTTTAGCACATCACTTCCTTCCTTTTGTCCAACTGGTAAAAGTGAATTTGACCCAAAGGGTATATGTCAACTACTCCAACTGAACACTTTTTAATACCATTACTGTACAAAGTACCTATTTCAATAATGCCATCTGATATGCTTAGTTTATTTAATATGTATATTTCCACTATGAAACATTTACTCTTTAACATTAATGCCATGCACTTAGCTGTACATATATTCACAGTACTAAAAGCAATAACTGCCACAATACATATTTAATTTGTCTCAATGTATTTTTCCTGGATGAGTGAATAAACTCTAAAATTTACACTTCCAATTATTTAATATGCACTCATGATTGTTGGGGAAGACCAGCTGCATAGTGCTATGATAAGGTACTAGTTACGGTCCCATGCTCAAAAAGTTTGCAATACAGCTAAGAAAAAAAGTGAGTATCTGTGAAATAATAAAATATCACACACGAAAGCATAGGTGTAGATCATCCTGGTGAAAAAGGAAAAAGTAATGAGTTATCAACAGAAAAGAAATTGGTAAAAACACAATACCAAAGATCCACATAGATATGTAGAATAAGAGGGAAAAATTATTAAAAGATGAAGGTGGAGATTGTGTACAACTCCCAGCCCACTCATAGTTAATGACATGAAATCCTGTCCTATGGTATTAAACAGAGAGACTACACAATTGCCCAGATGTTTAGATAAGCACTGTGAGCCTTTCTTGAGCAACTCCCATTTAACTGCCTCAGTTTTTGCTGGCAAATTGAGGGAGCTGATAGATCTAGAGTAACAATGAAATAAAAAAATACATCACTGACCAGTGATGCTATTAGGACTTAGTCCATAGCCAACAGCCATAGCAAGAATTCGAAGTCCTGCCAGAAACTCAAGTTCCAAGCTTGCCCTACAAACGTAGAAATCTCTTCATAAAAAAGTTGTAACATTGTGATATAAGAAACAAAATACGGGCAAATGTATTAAAAAAATAGATTAAAAAGGCAAAAATTGACATCTGAGTTTCAGGTTAACATGAGAAACTATGTAAACATAGTTATACTTGATTTTAAAAGTTACTGCTATTATTATCATTGATAATAATTTAATAATATTAACATATTTATACAGTTTTAAAAAACTTAACTTCTAACATGTATATTGTCTCTATAAATCTTATAATGATATTGGGAGTACATAAGACCATAATTATCACAATTTGTCCAGGAAAATCTCTAATCTGATATAGGTTAGAGATTGACTGACATCCCATATATAGGAAGTGAAAGAGTTAGGAATTTAACCAGATAGTCAAGACCCAAATATTTTACTTTGCATATTCTAAATAACTTTCCAAATATTTTCAGGAGGAAAACTGGAGGACAGAAGTTGCTAATACTTACAACCTCCTCCCTACCCCAAACTTGTGGAGAATTCCTAGACGAATCTGCTTTGTCCTGACACTGTAGACAACAGGGTTAAGCACTGGAGGAAGAAGCAGGTAGATGTCAGCCATGAGGATGTGGACTATGGGAGACAAATGCTTCCCAAAGCGATGGACCATTGACACCCCAATGACTGGCACAAAGAAGATGAGCACCACGCAGATATGGGATACACATGTGTTGAGTGCCTTTAGCCGCTGTTGATGAGATGCAATACCCAGCACAGCATTAAGAATCAGAAGATAAGAAAGAAATATGAAGACTGAATCCACGCCTAGTGTGGCAATGACTACACACAGTCCATAAAGGCTGTTGATCCTGGCATCTGAACATGATAATTTCAGAACATCCTGGTGTAAGCAGAAGGCATGGGAGAGGGCATTGACATGGCAGTAGTGATAGCGCCTCAGTAGCAAAGGTGTGGGCAGTACAACTCCCATACTTCGGATAAAGCAGGCCAAACTAATCTTGCCAATTACACCGCTGGTGAGGATGGTGGGGTAGTGCAGGGGAAGGCAGATAGCAACAAAACGGTCAAAGGCCATGGCCAGCAGCACTGAGGACTCCAGGAATGTGAATGTGTGGATGAAGAACAGCTGAGCATAGCAAGCACTTGCCTGGATCTCCCGAGCGTCCAGCCATAATACAGAAAGCATGGTGGGAAGTGTGGACAGGGACATACCCAGGTCTGTTAGTGCCAAGATGGAAATGAAGTAATACATGGGCTGGTGGAGTGAGGACTCTATCCAAATGACAGAGAGGATGGTGACGTTACCAACAAAGGCTACCAAATATGCGAGACAGAATGGGATCGAGAGCCAGGAATGAACATATTCTAATCCAGGAAGACCCCTCAGGATAAATACGGGCTCCACAGCATCACTGTTATTCCAGACCAGCATGGTGACCCTCGAGTAACTTGAAGTTAGCGAGGAATGTTCTTGTTATTCTTTCTTAACCCTCAGAGTTATCTTTTGTGAGTACAAACAGTGGAATCAGTCTATACATCTTTCCCCTAACCTGACACAGAAAAACAGGAGGTATCTCTTATGAGCCTCACGTAAGGCACTTTTCCCAATATTAAAGGGCGCCAAAGTCTGCAACAAAAGTGTGAACCATGCAACTATGGTCATCTCTGTCAAGAGCTATGTTGGGTGTGCATAGAGGACATGGAAAAATTTAAGCAACACAGGAGTAGAGAAAGAAATGTTACCATATATTATAAGGATAAAAAGAAGGAAAAGTCAGAGTAAATATTTGTGGATTTGTATAAGCTTCCTATCAATAATGTTCTTGAATTAATCAGTTATTGCTTCTAGGCTATCTTTTCATTCATGATGATTGAATTGATTCCAAGGACTCAACATAATTTCCCTTCAAATTTATTTTGTTTAATAATTCGTAGTATACATTTTAAATATTAAATATTTTAGTGATAATAGATACATACCTCATTATATTAGGAGAAGGCATGAATAAAAGGACAAAAAAAAACATAATCCCAAAGCACTTTTTTGAGCTGATTTTATAATATGAGCATATTTTTGAGCTGTTTAGTATAGCAACTATTCCCTAACGTAAAAATTCCTTGTGGTAAAAAAAAAAAAACAACAACTATATAAACAGTGTGTGTGTGTGTGTGTGTGACAAAAATAAATCTTTAGGACATAAAGTCAAATGTAACTGTGAAAATTCTTTTAAAGGTGGTTTCTTGTTTGCTCTCCCACAAAATGATGCGCACACTTAACATTCATTATCACTTACATATGTCTTAAGTAAAATAGGTACCTTTCCACTTTATTCACCATTTTTCATTCATTGTTTATTCTCTTCAAGTGATGCTTAGCATAACATTTTAAAAGAATAGTCAACCCAAATATTAAGTGATTCTGCAATTTTCTGACCCATTTTCACCTACTGTCAAGAAGCCACAGCAATCCGTAAATGCAGTCCTAAGTATTCACCAACAGCGCCTCTTAGAAACAACCAAATTATTTCTTCCTATTTCAAAAAATGATTCTAGTGTCTGGTTTTGCTTTTCCTCAGCAATCTTTGTTGTAATAGCCTCTTCTGCTGTGCTGGATCCCAATGTTGCCCTTGCTATACCCTGGGTTGATGGCACTGGGGACAGCAGCTAAACACTATGGGATTCTCTGCCCCTTCTGTCCCCTGGTTCTTTATTTTAGCCCCCTTGACTGTCTCTGAGAAAATTCTTCACTTACCTTGTTTCTCAGCATCTGGGCCTCATCTCTGCAGCAACATCTCAGCATCTCTCTTGTCTTCCCTGCTAGACCCTTAGTCTCTGAGCTCAGGGAAGTCAAACGTAAGACTCAGCCCTAGCCTAAAGTAAAAATCTTTCCAGATGTGGCCTCAAACTCACATCATAGGGCTCCAGCTATTTAGCAATGACTTTTTATTGTCTTCATTATATTTAATTAAAAGTTTTTTATTTTTATCTTTTTTAATTTTACCCTTGCTTATTCTTCTCTCAAGTTTATGGTGTGAAGACTGAAAGTTCTTAGAAGGCACAACCTAGGATTCTGCAGAGGACTTGACTTGGAATCTGTACCTGAGGAACAGAAGGAAATACAAAGCCATTCTCACCATGTGATAAGAAAGATTTGTCTCTTTCTCCTGTTTTTTCCAAGTCTAGGCATCCCTCATCCCCTGTGAGCCAGAGCCCTGGTACTCTACTCCAGCCCCAAGCAGTCTAAACTGAACTCTCACTGGGCCTCTGTCATGGATAAAGCAGTCTGTCCCTCACCAAGTTCTATACCTACCCAGCAGAATACTTGTTCAGAGCATGCATTTTTTTTTTTTTTTACCTTCAAGCAACATTTTTCTCTCTAGTCTTCAACATCCCTAACTGACTTTGTTTTTTCTTCATTCTCACTCAGAAAATTTTGTTCTATGTTCTGTTCTAGAGCTGAAAAAAGCCTTCACACTGAGGGGGGAAAGGCTTGGGTTTTATAGAGGGTTTCTGGAGGGAGTGAGTACCTGGGTCAGATCAGCCACTGCAATAATTTTTTTTTTTTCAAACAACCAGCTCCTAGGACTCCTGCCCCAGTTACATCCATCCTTCAGCTCTGGCATTGTCCTTATCAGGAGTGATAGGGAGAGAGAAACTTCATCCCTCTGCAGGGGAGGGGAAGAATGCTGGCACAGCTGTCTGTTAGCTTTACAAAGTCCAAGGACTCTCTAGACTCCTGCAGCTATTGTTTTACAAGCCTAAGTTTTCCATTAACTGCATTCACTCCTATACGTGCTTTTCAGGTTCCCACCTGGAACAAACCTAACACACGGTAGCTGGTTTGGGGGGCCAGCACATTCTTCTTCTTTCCACCTCTGTGCTGGTCCTTTTCCCTTTCCCTGGGGAAAAGTACATGAACCTTTTCTTTCTATCCTAATCTCTGTCTGGAGAAATGTTTCCCAAAACCAGTATGCACCGGCATCGCCACCCTAACAGGAACCGCCTTACCCAAGGTCATGACTCCTCCCCACGGGAAGACTACATCAGATGACCAGTCCATAGGTGATTAAAAAGGACCAGACCTTTCCTTCTATTTAGCACAATTCTGAGTTGCAGTGATCTTGGCCCCAGAAGTCTCTGAAGGATTGAATGTAGCCTTTGTTACAACTGAATGGATTTCAACTTCTCTCTCTGCTAATTCTACATCCTTCTTTCCCCATAGCTGATTAACCTGAGAACACTCAATGCAAACAAAGGTTTAATTCAAAAAGAACCCAACCTGCAACAATCATCACTATCAAAGACATATATGAGTGACACAGGAGAAAAATTCTTTATAAGTTACATCACTATAAAAGACTAATTTATTTACTATTAAAAACACTCTCACAAACTATTAAATAAAATAAAAAATGGAAAAAGGGTATATATAGACTAACCTCTAAAAAAAATCAAATGTTCTTTAACATTAAAAGAAAACTAACAGCTCTCATTTAATAAGGTAAAAGTTGTATGTATCAACAATTGAAAACACAATTATAGAGGCACAAGCAGAATGACCAAAAAAGTAAAATGTGACCACCTCTCCAGAGGAACCTGAAACTGCAGGTGAAAGATCAATTCTGTTGAATAGGTGAGAGGAGGACTCACAGGTATATTAACCATAAACAGCTACTCTGGACTCATCTGTGTAAAAGACCTGTGGGCTTTTTAGTCCCTCTGGGTATAGCTTCCTGAGTTGTTGTCCCTAGAGGCCTTTGTTCTACTAAGTGGGCACCAGGATAGAAGGGACAGAATAAAATTGTCATTATCAATATACGCACCTAACAGATGGGTTTGGGGTGGCTTAATCCTTGGTTCATCTCTTTCTGACCTTGAAGTGTGGACCGAGTAAGACAGACCTTGGTAAGTACGTAAAAACGATGATGGTCCAATTATAGATCTAATCAATCAAGAAAATTAAGATGAGAGTCTTATCCCCAATAAGATGTTACAGTTCTAGTGTTCAGTAGTTGCTTCCATCTCAGAATATACTCAAGAGTTGAAACAGTCTTCATAACATCATCTTGCCAACATAAACATCACACTGTCTCTTAGGGTGGAAAGCCTGGTAGGTGCTCATGCAGAGATTAAGATATATAAAAGTTAAAAATATTTATTTTATCTTCTTAGAGGAGAGAGAGAATGAGAGAGTGAGAGAGAGAGAGAAAAGAGAGGGAGAGCAGGGAGATGGTGTAGCATCCCAAACAAAGAGAAGAGGGTTCCAGCAGCGAGGCCTATTGGATTGTCAATTTTATGGGGACAAAGAGAAAGAAAAAAATAGTGATTGCTGTAAGTTGAAACAGAAGCAGCTGTGGAGTAATTAGCAGGCAGCTGGGAAATGTCAGGTTGTCCACCTTTCTCTGTTCCTGGAGACTTGGTTTTCTCTAAAATGTAGTCAGACTTATCACAGGGGATGTGATTTTGTCCCTGGGATGTGGTTTTGGGGAAGAATCTGAGGCCTGGAGTTTGCTCCCCTGCTGTCCCTCCAGGTGCTTCTCAGGAACACCTTGAAGCTGTAGAACAAATTCCAAGAGCAGTTTCTGGCAAATGTAAAGAGAAAGATTTATATTTCCTTTTTGTCTGGTGGGCTTCTTTCAAATGTTTGTGAACAGGGAGTCCCTGGAGGGTGTCTGCCAGCCAGGGAGAGAAAGAGAGAGAGAGCTCATGGTATTGATCTTAAGCAATTATCAGAAAATTGGGGAATTAGATATTTTCCTGTTATTTCAGCAAGGCTATCCCTTTCACGCCTATCAATGTAAAGAACATGATACAATCATATTTAAAGCTCATTTAACAACTTCCATATAAATACTGAACTTTAATTTGATTCTTTAAAGACATTTAAACAGGGACTTTGACTTCCTGTTTGCTTTTTGCTTGTATTTTTTTTTTCATTTTTACAAACTAGAGAATTTAGTTGAGTAGACCCTTCTGAGCTGAAGACAGAATACTACAAAATCTCCTGTGCAGTGTTCTGTTTTCCTCTAGATTCTGAAAACATGACACCCTTTAAAGCAAAGTAAAATAGTTTATTCCAGAGAGGCACAGCATATTCTAAAGAAAGACATATTATTTTTTTTTTGTAATTCAGGAAAAGTAGAGGTTTATAATGAAGAGTAAATAATGTGCCAGTTGAAAATTTTACCCCATTTTTCTTGATTGATTATGAAACAAGTAATTTTTATTCAATTAAGAGAGTTCGTATGAGCTCAAAGTTATTAACTGGATTTTGTATGGAGGGATTTAAAACTCAAATCTTAAGAAAGTATAAATTGACTTAAAAATTCAGACCCGTTAAAGCAGTTATTATATGTCGAGAATAATACCAACATCTTGGCAATCTAATGAGTCTTGGGAGAAAGGTTGCTAGAGGACATTTGAGAGGGAGGCGAAAGAGGAGCAGAGTCTCCACACAGCCACTGGAGGAGCCGCTTGGAGTGGAGATGGAGTCAACGACAGGCAAGGCTGAGGAAGTGAAGCCCGAGCTGCATAGGTTCAGCAGACAAGCCAGGCAGAAGAAGGACCCAAGCAGCGAAAGTAGAATATTCTTCTCAAAGATTTCACTTACCGCAAAATTTTAATGTTAAATACATTTTGAGCCTCTGTCCTGGAGGGAAAGAATTTCCAACAGCTCTATTCAACTATATGGGCCAAATAAACAAATGACTCTTACACAATCCCTGTTGGAATGAATCTTCAGTTTCCATTGAACACTTACACACCCCTTTCAGATTAGCATCAGAAACAGGCTTGGAATTTGGAGGACACCAGGGCTAACACGCAGACAGCCTCTTAGTGGTAGTTGAGCCACGCAGCACAACTGGATTAGTGTTGAAGGCAGACAGCACAGTAGCATCAGTCATAGTAACAATGTATTTATTGCCTTCCAATGAATTTGTGTAAGAGTCTTTAACACTTGCCTGTTTTTTCCCCTTACTTTTTCATTTGTTTATTTGTTTTGCATATAATTTCTTACTCAATTCAGAACTTCCTAGGCATTTCTTTCTAAATGTCGAAAGAAATTTCTTTCCCAATGTCCGTTCCTTTGATACCTCGTCTTTTAAGGGTTATAAATATCACAAAAATGTTTAAAGACAGCCCAGAGGTGGAAGTAGTTTGAGAAAAGAAAAATAATACAAGAAGTTGGAGATGAGGCTCAGGCCAGAAAAATATTCAGAAATCCATAAAAGCGCAGGAAGCAGCAATAACAGTTCAGAAACAAATGAGGGTGGATCACAGTGATTAGAGTTGGGGATACAAGGAGAGTAAAGAATAGTAGTACTAGAAACTACCTGAACATTTCATATCTGAGAGATATTATCAAATTCCTCATAATAAGGATTGATAGTGAAACCTGGCATTAGCTCTAGTATATTATTAAATAAATTAGTATGATAAGTCATTATTTTAGAAGAGTCTATGGTCAAATAATTCTCCAAAAATTTGATTTTTCCTAAAGATATGCTCTAATAGGTTACATTTATAAAACTGTATTTAAGTTTTGATGGAGAATTGCATTTAATATGATATAGTCAGCCAACTCACTGACTCATATCAAACATGTATCAATAATATATAAAATATGGATCTTAATTAACCTCCACTTCATACCAAATGTGTATCAATAATAGATAATATATTTAAGTGCTTTAAAAAGTTATTCTCATGCTCCTTAGTCAGAAAGACAGATGGTAGATAGATGCCACATGATAGATAGATAGAAAATGAGATTCAGTGTAAAAACATTGATTGTATGTTGAAGTTGAATCCATGGACCCTCTTGGCTCCTAGTCTAGAGATACATTGGTGGTTGGCAGTTTAACACCTGTGTGGGACTCTGCATGCTGGTGCTCAGTATTTGACAAGGGACCATTCTAAGGTACCCTGCTTGAGAAATGAAGCTGTTAACGCACATGGAGAGTAGAAATAGCTGTTGTCACAGCAAAAATCTGCAACCTGTAACAAGCTGGGTCTTGGGGTAGATGGAAAAATTGAGTGAAACTGTACTCATTTCTCTTTTGTAACAAGACCCCTTACCTATTATTAAAAAACCTAAAACTATTAACAAACTTCAGGGAATGAGGAAAAGCCAACTATCATGTCTAATCATGGGACACAAACAAAATAATCAACAAACAAACAAGGAAATTTCTACTCAAGATTAGATTACAAATAAAGTTCAGAACAAATATAATGATTAATACAGAAAGAAATGCTACAATGTCAATAACAAGGGGAAGGGGAGCTGGGAAAATATTGGTCAGAGGATGCAAAGTGTCAATCAGGCAGGAGAAATAAGTGTTTTCGAGTTACTGCACAGCCTGGTGACTGAGTTAATAATTATGTCCTATATATTTCAAAGTTGTTGAAAAGGTACATTTCAAATATTCTCACCAGAAAAAAAAATGGTAAGTATGTAAGTTGATAGAAATGTTAATTTGCTCAGTTAATCATTCTAAATTGTATATATACATCAAAACATAACACTGCACCCCATATATATCTCAATTATTATTTGTCAATTAAAAATAAAAAATAAATTAAAAATAATATTCACTCATGAGAACAAAAAAGTAAATGAAACTAAAATAATTTTTTTAAATAGGCATGTTTAAGATCTTCAGAAATTAAAAGAAGCATAACAACAATAAAATTGTTAGGTGGAGAGGCCAGAGAGACACGAAGCCTCATGTGTAGCAAAATGCTGCTTATTTTGGCATCTGGGTGCAGATGGGTGGAGGCAAAAAAGCGTCCACATTGAAGGAAGGGAAAGCCTTGGGTTTTATATAGGGTTTCTTAGCGGGGAGTGAGTACCTGGGCCAGAACAGCCACTGCAATAAAATTTTTTTTTTAAACAACCAATTTCTGGGACCCCGGCATCAGTCTCATCCTGTAGAGTTAAGAGAGGAGGGTGGTTCTGTCCTTATCGGGAGGGATAGGAATGCCACAGCTGCCTGTTAGATTTTACAACCTCCAGGGACTCTCCTGACTCCTGCAGTTATTGTTTCACAAACCTCAGTTTTCCATTAACAGCATTCTATCCTATACATATTTTTCGAGCTCCCACCTGGAACAAATCTAACAAAAATAAGTAAAAGTTATAAGGGGATTGGTAGATAGAAGATGAAATGCATGGTCATTTAAAATAACCTTCATTAGAAAATGAAAGTAGAGTAGTTGAAATAAAACTCAATAGTTGCAATACATTTCAGACCAGACACAAATAAAGATAGAATTAGTAAATAAGAAGATAACACTAAGGGATACACAGAAAATGCACCACGAATGAATGACAGATTTGAAAATATGAAGTAATCTAACTAGGAAGGTTGAGAAGCTTCAACATTTTTTCAGCTAGATAAAATGCTGAATAGGTGATAGATGATATTCAAAATATAAGAAATGCATGACTTTTCTGATTGAAAATGTTCAACAAGTTCTCAGCAAAATAAATTGATAATCCCCACCTGTGCACTATTCAATGTAGCTCAATATGGAGAATATCAGTGATTAAGAGAGTTTCCTAAAGACTAGATGCTAGCAATAAATAGATGCACACCAAGGGTCCACTGAAGATGGTTTATTGAAGGATTTCTTTATAGAGGTGCATGCAGGGTTAAGGACACAACAGGGAATGCAGAAGTCCTCAGAAACCTGTGACAGGAAGGAAGGACACAAAGAGAAAGAAAGCGTGGGATAGTAGGCTTCTACATCAAAAATCTATAGTGTTCTTTTGTATGACAATTAATGACTAAGAAAAATGGAAAAATAATAGATAAATGATTCTGTAAATAATAGCAACAATACCATAAAGATTCTAAAAAAATTAATTTTACAAAATATGCAAAATCATCTATAAAAAATGAAGACAAGGAAATTCATGGTCATTGAAGGCGCTCTATAAATATGTTAACTTTTCTACATTGTATGTAAATGTATTGAAATTTTAAACAAGTTCTTAATAGGATGTAGAGTGCATATTTACACAAAAAAGCAAAATCTCAGGTTTTAGAATTGGATATAATAGATGCCTGTATAATTATTGTAGTTGAACAATATTCTCTCTATAGGACTTGTATCTGTTATAATCTGTATATGTTGTAAGATTACATTTTGATAACAATTTGTGATCTTTTTCTCTCGGTTTTTGTTTTCAGTTAGATATTGATGTCTACTTCTCTACCTATTTTTCTCTATTTAGGTTTGCATCTAAGAATTATACCTATATATTTGGTTTCACAAGATCTCAATGATTTCAATAAGATAGACACAGCATATGAGCCAATCTACTTGCTGAACTATGGGAAGCTTCTTCTGAACCTCTCATTTTTTCCCCATACATATCAGTATGTCTATTCTCAACACCTCTGAAACTGAAATCTCTATTTTCTATTTGGTTGGGATTCCAGGTAGGGAGCCTGCCAACATTTGGCTCTCTATCCCCATATGTTTCATCTACATTGTTGCCATCGTAGGGAATTGCACCATCCTCTTCTTCGTAAAAACACAGCCTTCTTTGCATGAACCCATGTACTACTTTCTCTCCATGTTGGCTCTCTCTGACCTGGGACTATCCTTCTCCTCTCTACCTACCATGCTAAGGGTTTTCTTGTTCAATATTCCAGAAATTTCTCCTGATGCCTGTATTGCCCAGGAGTTTTTTATTCATGGATTCTCAGCTATGGAGTCATCTGTACTTCTCATTATGTCCTTTGATCGCTTTATTGCCATCTGCAACCCTCTGAGATACACCTCCATCCTTACCAGTGCCAGAGTCCTTCAAATTGGAATTGCGTTTGCTCTCAAAAATTTGCTGTTGGTCCTCCCTTTCCCTTTCACTCTAAAACATCTAAGATACTGTAAGAAGAGCCTCCTGTCCCATTCCTACTGCCTGCATCAGGATGTCATGAAGCTGGCTTGCTCTGACAACAAAGTTAATGTCATCTATGGCTTATTTGTGGCTCTCACAGGCATTCTAGACTTGACCTTTATTTTCATGTCCTACATTCTGATACTGAAAGCAGTGTTGAGCATAGCATCACAAAAGGAAAGGCTCAAGGTCCTCAATACATGTGTTTCCCACATCTGTGCTGTGCTCATCTTCTATGTGCCCATTATCTCCCTATCTGTCATCTCCCGGTTTGCCAAACACAGTTCCCCGCTCATTAAGATCCTCATGGCTGATGTTTTTCTGCTAGTACCACCATTGATGAACCCCATTGTGTACTGTGTGAAAAGCCAGCAGATAAGAAATCAGGTCCTAGAAAAACTGTGCTGGAAGCAAAGCTGACGGGAATGCTTAACCATATGAAAACTCAGTGACCAAGTGGAATGAATCAAGAAGAAACCAGACCACATAGTAATCACTTCAGGGTATCATCTCTCCACTTGTTTATTAGAATTAAAGAATCACACTTGCAAATTTGTTGGTTTGAGATTTAGACTTGGTCCTCTGATATAAACAAAATGTATGCTTGGGTTCTACTTTCACCCAGCTTGCCTTGCCAGGCCTATGAACACAGGGTGTTCTTGTCATTTTCATTATGATTAAAGGAATATTCTATGTGCTCATTTGAAAATTAATAGTATATACTTATATGACAACTAGATAGTGATCAGAAATGGCCAAAGATTGCTCGCTTATTTATTTAAAATTTTTATATTCAATACATAATTTTGACATCTGTGAGATATGCACTGCTGTCAGAAACTGAAATTAAGACAGACAACAATGCTGTTTTAGTTACTATAGCCTGGTAGTATAACTTGAAATCTGGTAAATTGATGCCTCCCAATTTGTTTTTTTACCTTAAGATTGCTTTTGCTATACGGGGTCTTCTCTGGTTCCATACGAAGCATAGAATTATTGTTTCTAGATGTATGAAAAATGATGTCGGTATTTTAATAAGGATTGCACTGAATCTGTAGATCACTATGGGGATTATAGACATTGTAACAATATTGATTCTGTGGTCCCATGAGCATGGTATGGTTTTCTACCTGTTTACATCCTCTGCTATTTCCTTCCTCAGTGTTTCATAGTTCTCCCTATAGAGGAGTTTCATCTCCTTAGTTAAATATATTCCTAAGTATTTTATTTTCTTTGTTGCTCTTGTGAAGGGTGTTGAGTCTTTGATTTGGTTCTCAATTTGACTGTTGTTGCCTGGGTCTGTCACTGCTTCTGCCAGTGCTACTGCCCATGTGACCACCTACTGATCAAGGACCAGTTCACTTGGCCCCACCACCCAAATCAAACATGCCCTTACTTACTACAGAAGTGGGGCTGCCATATATCTGCACCTGTCACCTAGGAGCCTGTTGACAGGCCCACCTTTCCATCCCCAGCAATGGTGCATCCTTATGGTTTCTCACTTCCTCTTTCCTCTAATATCTGACTACAACTTTCCAAAGTAATGTTTCTAATTTTGCTCCCACCCTTCTGACCTTGCATTACTGAGAATTGAAACTACCCTTTCCTCCAATCCCTACAAGCTGAAGCTGGAAAACTTGATATAAACTTCAAGGTTATCTTCTTGTCTGCTACTATGTGAACCGCTCAGAAAATTTACCAAACCACATGATGCCATCATGAAAAACCTTCAAACGACAAACAAAAAAATTAAACAGATTGCCTCTGCCATCGTTACTCCACCATCTGAAAATGTTTTGATCACTTGATTTTAGGAATTCAAGACCAGGCTGGGCAACATAGTGAGACTCTGTCTTTACAAAATATATTTTTTTTAATTAACAGGGAAAAATTGTGTGCACCTATAGCTCCAGTTACTCAGGAGGCTGAGGCTGGGGGATCTCTTGAGCCCAGGAACTTGAGGCTGCAGTGAGCTATGAGGGTGCCACTGTACTCCAGCCTGGGCAACATAGGGAGACCCTGTCTCTAAAAAACTAAAAATTAAAATAAAATATAAAGTTGCTTTGAGTTCAATGGGCTCAAAAAAAAAAATCTTCTCTACTGGCTTCCCTCTGAACTTAGAAATTAAGTTTTTGGCTATTACTCTTTTTTGCCAATAGAAATTTTCCTCATTAAAGGCTTCACACAGCCTGCGCCATCCAGAAAATATCTTTTACTACCAAGTCCCATCAGATAATACAACTTGTCCTTAATAAACAAAAGATGACTGAAGGAGAAAATGGACTAATATTGTTCAATCCAAAGAAGAATCTCTCTTGAACAACAAGGGGAACTGACGGAGATTCTCTCCTTTACCACACTCTACTCAGCCTTCTCTGAACTCTCTTCTCCACTGGCCTCAACTTTAGAACTTCTGTGTTCATCTCAGTAATGTTCAATTTAGCAAGAATCCCGCTAAATCATTTTTACCAGAACCCTTCAACTTCCATCTCTGATCACCCTAGATATCTACTCAGGTATCTCATCCTCTATCATTCCCCGATGATGACTGGTCACCCAGGCCTGCCTTCAGCATGTTGTTAGGAAAATGTCACCAGAATACCCCTTACCTCTGATATTTCCTATTACCAATTTTCCAACCATCAACTCTCCCTCTCACCATCACTACTCTGTTTCTTGGTCATAAGCTCCTACTTTTCCTCTTGTATTTGGAGTAGATCCTAATCTCTTTCCCCTACTGTAAGACTGCATTGGAGTAGCTTCACCATACCTATTGCCATGATCACCCTGAGTAAGTCTTCTTTAAAGTTCCATAATAAGTATCATGAATAATTTGTCTTTAACAGTAACCCATAACTCATTATACTGCACATTTTTTGTCTTTCTCATGCAAGAATGTAAACCCTGTAAAAGACTAATTTCCATAAAAATGTAAAATCATGGTTCTCACACAGATATAAAATGAACATGCATTAAAGAACTTATTTACTTCATTGTCCTGACAAGGGACTGTGCTAAATACTACAACTACTTCAAAGGGAAATCCACAAAACAGACATATTCATAGATAGGAATATTGATGTGAATTTGCCTATGAATACAGAATAGATGCTGCCACAGTATAAGGAAATCAAGTGAACTCCTACCAGACAGAATTTATTTGCATGTTTCATTCATGAATTACTTTGATTCTTATAAATAAATACAACTTAGAGAATTATAAAATATCTCAAAGGCAATGAAAGCACAAAGTTCCCATGTATTTGGAATCATATAACTTGGAATGATATGCTTTAAACAGTGCATAATTTTCCACTGAAGCACAACTTTTTCCGTTTAGTATCTACATTTTAATAATAAAAAAAATCTCAAAGATAGATCATTCTTGACCACAAAATAAGACTTTCCTCATTAAATTTGGCTTCAGAATTTACACAAGGATAACAAAAATGCTAATTTGTCATACAGGCCTTCTTAACTTTATTATAGGTTTTTGTAAGGAATCTCAAATTTGACTTTTAAAGGCCACTATTGTACGCTGTACCTAGTCTAGGAAGTTCAGTTCAAGAAACTCTGTCGATGAAATTATGCCTTCAGGTATCTATACTTTTGTGCAATATTTTCTTTTCTCAAGGTCCTCAAAATGTTCCAAATATCCTGGCCTGCCTGGATGCGATCTTCCTTATCACTCTCAGGGCTGAATCACGTAAGACAGGTACTAGGCCAGTTTATCTGAAAGATAAACTGTCAGCATTGGATCCACAGAGTAGACTGTAGTTCCTCAAAAGTGGCTGGTCATCTGATTAAACATTCCCCGATATGATTTTTCAGGAAAGATCTTGGTTGGATAATCAATTTTTTAATTATATCATATTTCAACTTTGTGAATAATACATCATAAAAAGCATGGACACTTGGTAAAATCTTCTGAATGTGAAGATTCAATGACAATCAGCTCTAATTTCAAAATTTTTCATTTCACTTTTAAAACAGCAGCATCTACTAGATTATTATGGACTACAGAAATCTTAGAAAAAAGAAAGGAGTCATATATGAAGACAATAGAATATAACACAACATAAGCAATATTCCAAATGAACACCATATAATGTTCTTCATCTGTTGATTTAGTCATGTGTAAATAGCTGTTGTTCTGCTCAATCTTGGGCTGATAGTTTCATGAAGCTACCCACCTCTTGACAAAAAAGAGTCCTGGAAATCATGACTCAGTCCATTGGAATGGTCTATAAGAAACCCATGAGTCTACCTTTGAATTTTGAAGTAGCTAGTATAGTCCTTTTCCACATCCTCTGACAGGGTCCTTCTCTGTTGAAAACATAAAAAACATAAAACTCCGGCCTGTTACTGATGGAATACCTTCCAGAAATGCAACAGAATGAAACAAAAACTACCCATAGTCTTAAAATAGTTAAGCTAGCTAAAGAGAATTAAGTCTATCTTTAAGAGGCCACGGCCAATTTATTAATGATATATTTTAATGTAAAAATTTTGATGACAAGAATAATGCAACTGGGAAGAAAATTTAATTTTTGGTGATATGCAAAACATGATAATAAAGTCATTATGAAAAAAGAAGTTTTAAACAAAACATCTCCAAGGATAATCATAAAGCCTTTGTTTAAGGACATTGAAGGTTACATCTGATGTTTGAAAGTGAATAATCATTTTCCTTACAATGGAAATAATCTTGAAATATAATATAAATCATGAGAAATTATATACACAATATACCAAGAAAATATCAAGAATACACAAGGGATATTGAGTAAGGAGATTCAGTGAATTTGGAATAAGGCCCAGACATTTGTAATTTGCAATATAAAACTCTATATTAAAGTATGGGTTGAAGATCTAGTTGAAAACCACTAGCCTTGAAGATGCTAGATTCAAATTAAATTTTCAAAGCCTTCTTGATTTTGTAAAATGAAAAACCTGTAATTTTAAGAAAGTTAATTCTGGTGGAAGAAGTAGAACGTAGTTACACTATCAATCTGCTGTAAGATTATTCAGATGGTGTTTGGGATCATGGCATCATAATTCTGCCAGAGATAGCATAGGAAGCTTAAAAGGGATTGTTGACAAATTGTTAATTATTCCCCATTACATGGGGCTTTATGATCCTTCATGGTTCCAGTAACAGTTAAAGTTTCACCAGAAGGGACTTTTATTTTGCTCTAAGTACATACTGCTGAGTTGGAATCCCCAGAGCTTTCTCAGTTAATGGGAAAGCATCTGGGAGGCAAGACTGACTAGACTTTTCAGATCAGGATAAATTTCTGCACTTCCACAACCGTGAAAATCTGGGATTCCATCTCTATTTCCTCTTGACTTTGACATGTGTGTCGAAGTACCCACCCACTTACTGGTAAGTTTCCTAACGTTCACACTTGCCTTTGCAC